CACATGGATTCGTTCAAACCACAAGTCCATCATTAATTTTAATGCTGACCTCTCCTATATATGGTCCTATATCTTTTGTAAAAACCTCATAATACATGTATGGCCCATTACTTTTAATGTGAACCCTTCCCATATACAGTCCCATATCTTATATAGAAATGAGAAACCACATAATACATGGACTCATTCAGAATTTCACACCACGACAATCTTATATAGAAGATAGAAAATAGTACATGGATATTCATTCAGACCATGGGCCCATTAAGTTTGATGCCAATCCATCTCATATATGCTCTCATATGTTATACCCATGTAATTAACATACTTGCATATAAGTCGTTTTAAATTCTATTTAAAAATAATTAATTATTAAGTATTCATAAAATTAATAGAAATTAAAAATAATAAATAATAGAAGATATATAGAAAATAGAAAATTAACCATTAAGTAAAACTTGGATTGTAGTTGGACTGACTTAGACATAATCCAAAAAATAATATTGTTTGATTTGAACTTGTGATAGGACTCCTTTTATTTCAACTTTGCTTAAGAAGCTTCTGGCATCACATCGTTTTGGACTAGTTTTTGTTTTAAAACATTGAGTTTAATATAATTACTTGCTCTCATTACTTATTGGGTATGATGGTTTATGATGGTTCTTGTTTCAGTTTTACAATGGATGATTGCTCTTTCTTGCGTTTCACTGTTTCAGTGCTCTTTTAATTTGCATGGTTTTTAAAATCGATCCGTAGTCCGAACCGAATGGTCAGCCTGTGCTGATAAAAAAAAATTAAAAAAAAAGGTTAAAACCGTTCAAACGGTTTGAACAGTTTGAACTGCTAACCGTCCGGTTTAGCGGTTTGCTGACCAAAATCAATGTTTTTTTGAGAAAATCTGGATGATTGTTCTTTCTTGTGTTTCATTGTTTCAGTGCTCCTTTAACTTGCATGGTTTTTAAAACCGACCTAGAGACTGAATCGGTCAAGGGTCCGGTTACCGGGTCAAATGGTCCAACCGTTCGAACTGAACAATCGGCCCGTTCTAACAAAAAAATTAAAAAAGTAAAAAAAATAAAAAACGGTTAAAACCGTTTGAACAGTTAACTGCTTGGTTCAGCAGTTTACTGACCAAAATCAACGATTATTTTTAGAAAATCTGGTTTTGGGGGGAAATGGAACTGGTCACCTAACCAGTTCCTAGTTTTTCTGGTCCGACTGTCCAGTCCGGTCTGGTCCGGTTTTGAAAACCATGTTAATTTGGCATGAAATAGTTGATTATTCTCATAAGAAAAAATAAGAGTATGAGGGAGAAGGAAGAAAACTTACTTTCATTGACCATTAATCCAATCCATTCCCATCTAATAGAAACAATGAAATGATCTCAATCACCATGAGAAAGAAACAATGTTTTTTGAATCTCACAAAGAATGTCTCTCATTCTCTTTGCATATTGTCATGGAATGTAGAGCAACATAATGAGCTTGAACTCCTCAAAATCAAGCTACTCATCCGAATTGGTGTCAAACCTACAAACAATTTGCTCGCGGACCCCATCGTTCTCTGACTATAGGTCAAGTCTCACCAGCACACTTTGAAGCTCCTAATAGAGCTCGAGTTTGAATGAAAATCTTAGTGATTTCATTGATTGAACAATAGATATTTATACATGTATTTTGGAAGAGATAAGTTACAAAGATAAGAGTTAGAGGTTAATTAGGATAAGAATCTATAACAACAATGGGATAAACACTATCCCTAGACAGCCCCCTCAAGGTCAATGGGGGTTGATAGATATTGAGCTTGAGAGTGAGGTCCAGAAACCATGAATAAGGTAAGGCTTTAGTGAGGATATCAGTCATCTGATCAAAATTAGAGATGTATTATAGTGGATGATAATAGATTGATCAACAACCTTCTCTCAGATAAAAATGAATATCAAGAGATCAATGTGTTTAGTATGGGAACGCTGAACAGGGTTAGAAGTAAGAAATTTGACCCCCATGTTATCACACCATAAAGTAGCAAGTTAAGAGGAGGAAAGCCAAACTCAAAGAGGAGCATCTTTAACTAGAGGACTTCAACAGCGGTAGAAGCAAGGCATTGATATTCAACCTCCGTACTGGAATGAGAGAAAACCGGTTGTTTCCAAGAACTCCAGGAGATGAGATTAGGACCAAGAAAAATTGCATAACCACTCTAGAGCGGCGATCAATAGGGCAACCAACCTAGTCAACATCAGAGAAGCCAGAGAGAGAGAACACAAGGGACAAAGAAATAATCCATGAGTAATCGTACACTTCAAATAGTGTAGATTCTCTATAATACTACGCAATTGAGTGGGGTTGTTCAATAAATCTCCACTATCAATAGAAAGTCGAGTAGAGGAAGCCATCGGAGTGAAGGCAGGTTTTGCTTCATACATATGAACCTGTACCAGTAAATCATGCATATACTTGTGTTGACAGATGAATACCATCTCGAGTGTGATGCATCTCAATACCCAGAAAGTAATGAGCAGGACCAAGATTTCTAAGAGCAAACTAAGATGATAACTCAGAAATGGGAGAAGAGATGGTAGTGGAACTAGAGCCAGTAATTAGTATGTCATCAACATATACAAGTAAAGTAATCATTTTGGAGTTAGATCATGTAATGAAGAGAGAGGTGTCATCCCTTGACTCAACAAATTGGAAAGAGAGGAGAAAATTGCAAAGTCAAGTGAACCAATAACGAGGTACTTGTTTGAGGCCATATAAACTCTTGTGAAGTCGCACGCATGGTTAGGGAATTGGGGATTAGTGAAGTCACTAGGTTGTTTCATAAATACTTCTTCATCAAGGGCACCATGAAGAAAGGCATTGCTAACATCTAATTAGTGAATATCCCATTGAAAGGACAAGGCGAGTGAGAGAATGAGCCGAATAGTTGTAGGCTTAACTACTGGGCTGAACGTCTCAACTTGCTTCAATGCTAGAAAGAAATTCAGCCACATTAAGTATGAGAGATGTTGGTGGAATACACATGAACTTCATGAATTTCTACACATCGGAAGATGATCCATTCTAATGTTGAGGCAATTAGAATTGTCTACACTTATGCTGCAAGAGTCTAGTAGGATTAATTGCCAAATTGATAATGATGAGGTGTATGAGGCAAAGAGAGCATAACAAGATGTTCCGAGAACATCTTCTAGAAGAAGTATTTAGATGTAGAATTGATTTCCTTCATCTCATGACTGGAGTTGCCAAACTGAACTTTGATGGCTGTAGTTTTGGAAACCTTGGAAATTCTGGAAACCAAGGTATTTTCATAAATTCAGATGGGAAGATTCATTATACCCAGTGCTCATATCTGATTTGTTATGGAACAACAATTAGAGCTAAGACTTTGCATTATTGCAGTAGTTGAGGTTCATGCTCTCCCTTGACTTTCAAAGGTTGAAGGTGGAGGATGACTCTCAAATGACCATCAGACGGATGAACAATGTAGAGAAAGGGCTGTAGCAATTGAGGCACCATATTGAAGAAGGTAAAGCTCTTGCGTCCATAGTGAATATCTTACTCATTTGAGCAAGGATGTCAGTTAACGAATTTAAAAAGAAAGTGGTCCTTGGTGATTCTTATAAATATGTTGGAATTTTGAGTGAAGTGAAAGATTTCCATGCTTAATGCTGAACCCTTGTAAGACTATAGCTTCAATTGTGAAAAATCCAACCTCTTTGGTAAAGTAACTTATGGAGTCTAGAAAATGCCTTTCARGTGATTCTAGTTTGAATTAACCGAATTTGATAACTGAATTTATATATCAAATAAAAAGAAAGGATTAACTGAATCTGATAATTTCTTTACTAGCTATGGGACTAATCACTTAGAAACAATCATAAGTTATTGTTTGAATTTTAAAATATATATTTTGTGTAGAGTCATGGATCGGAAAACAATCTCTACGCCTCTCATGATGCTTCGCCAGCAAACCCTGTAAGTCATCCCAACTTTATTTTTATTTTTCATGCACTTATAATTTTTTGGCATGAAAATAATATTCTATTTTCATTGTCTTCTACAAGATACCCAACAACTTGGATTAGGAGTATCTCATGCACGTGAAATAAGTCAGGAGAGGGAAAGAGCATCTCATGCACTTCAAACAAATCAGGAAAGGGAAGGAGCGTCTCATGCAAGTCAAACAAGTCGAGAGAGGGAAAGGGGGAATCTGAAGGGGAAGAAGAAAGTCCTTTTTAGATGATGTATATATTTTTCATTTTTTGGTTTCAAACATACAACTATCAAATATTTTATTGTAAAAAAGATTTATTTTTAATTTTTTCATTGTGTATAAATGTGAATTCAAATTACAGGTTGGTAAAAGAATTATTGAGCCTATAGGTTGATAAATGCCTTATTGGGCAAATTACACAAACAGGTGATGGATGCTTATTAAAGCATCTATAAAAGTTCTAGTGACGTTTAATTAAACATCGCCAAAAGCAAAAGTCTAAATAAAATGTATTATTTTTGGGGACGTTTATAAACATCGTGAAATCTCTCAGATTCGATGACGTTTATAAACGTCGCGAAACCTCTAAGATTCAGCGACGCTTATGAACGTTGCCAAAACGCTTTAATTAGCACATTTGTCAAACATCGTCAATTGTTTCGTAAACATCGCCAAAAGTTTTCGCAACGTATATGACTGCGACGTTTGTGCATATGTCGTCGAAAGTTTTTGGCGACGGTGACAAAAAACGTTTTTTCTGTAGTGGCTATTTGGTTAGTCATTTTCTCAAGAAGTGCAAACGAAAAAAATACAATAAAATCAACCGCTTCCATAATATTTTAAAAACCAACCCTGACCTATTTGTCTCTAGTGTGGCTGGTATGTGGTTCAACCATCCAGAATAACCTGTGATGTGATAAATAAATAATAATATATAATACATATATATATATATATATAACCATATAACTATATACATAATTTCATGGATGCCATACATGTACATAAATATAGGTGTTATACCTGTTTATAAATATATATTATAACAATAAAATCAAAATAAATCCAAAATTATTATTAACCATTAACACCTTAATTTTGTATGAGAGAACGAGAAGTCTAAAGTTCATATACAGAAAGGCTCAAGGAATCGTAAGTAGCATCATTCTCTTGAACTCCTCAAAATCAAGCAACCCATCTGAATTGGTATCAAATTCAGAGATCATACTCCGGCAACTGCATCCACTCCTCTCCTCCCAGAGTCCAAGGCTGGACAAAACCTTCTGAAGCTCTTCACAGGATATGAATCCATCCTTGTTCAGGTCAAACACCTTGAACGCCTCGACAAGGTCCCTTTCTTCATCTCCCTCAAAGCCAGCTGCAGGCTCCGCCCCGTCTGGCCTCGATATCTGCTCATAGAAGAAGATGAACTCTTGCAGGTCTAATCTCTCTCGTCCCACGATGGATTCGAGCTCGTCAGGGCCAGTTCGGATGCCAACCTTGTCCAGGAGCCAGCTGAGCTCGCCGAGACTAACGTAGCCATCGTCGTTCTGGTCCAGCTTCTTGAATATCCTGTGCAAGTCAACAGACTTGAGGCTAGCCATGCTGCAGCAGGAGTCATCAGAATTCAGGAACAATATGGCGCAGGTGGCATTGCATTTGCAGCCTTGCACACATATTCCGTATGCAAAGCTTCTGTATAAATAGAGGTGCAATGGGGATGATGAAATTTAGGCGAAATTTCCACTTTGTTCTAGCTAGTACCGCATTGAGTACGAAGGTGGAAATGATGAAAAAGTCGGCAAGGAAATTTCGGAGAAGCTTCTGAAGAGTTTAAGGGCCGTTTCTCTGCCGGTCAGTCTACATCTATGGACCACAACAACGTAACGTATATGAAAGATTGGTGCCCGAATTAACATAACTGAAGTAGGAGAAACCATTCAGGGGAAAAATCTAATCTTTTTATTGGTTTTCTTGTGGCAAAGAACAGGTTAGGGTTAAGTACTCTGCAACCCTATGCAGAATTCTAAATCACAACCCCCTAAACTACATCCTGCCCATGAATTTGGCATCAATTCACAGCCACAATTCATCCCATGTACAGTGGAGTCACAAAATTCTAACCTGGACTGATCAGTCATTCTCCTTTTTTTCATCCTTTTTTTCACAAGAATTTATTCAGATAATCATTTTAGTTTTGAGTAGGGATGACAATTTTTCCCATGATCCCCAACCCCGGGGTTGAGGATGGGAGTCGAGTCCCTGCCATGCCCCCCAAACCCAATATATATTAGGGTAAAATAAAAAAATCTCCCCTAAAGTTTTTGGCAATCATAAAAACCTCCCCTATATTTTCATTTTAACAAATACCACCCCTGAATTTTTTAGAAACTCGACAAAAACCTCCCTTCTGTCACCGTCGCAGACGGTAAATGTTAGACTGATTCACCAGATTTTTTTCAAATACTCATTCTACTCAACAAAAACATCCTTGAACGATCATCTCAGTAATTTTACATACAATACAAAATTACTGAAATATGTATTTTTGTTGAGTTAAAATGGGATCAATTCAGTAATTTTGTATGTAAAATAATTTATAAAAGGGTAGAATGGGTATTTGAAAAAAACTAGTGCATCAGTCTAATGTTTTCCATCTGGGATGATGATAGAAGGGAGGTTTTTGTTGAGTTTCTCAAAAGTTCAAGGGAGGTATTTGTTAAAATGAAACTATAAGGGAGGTTTTTATGATTGTCAAAAACTTTAGGGGATGTTTTTGTATTTTACCCTATATATTAAAATAATATAATTTATATTTTAATTTTTTTTCTATTTTAAGTAAATTTATTTTTCAAAAAAATACTGTTAATTAAAAAATTTTTGGGATTTGGATCCCATGGAGAACCCATTTCCATCGGGAATCAGGGATGGAGCATAACTTTTCTCCCCGATGAGGATTGGGGTTGGGGATAAGGATTTATTTCAAAGTTAAAATCGAAAACAAAGAATGTAATCCCAACCCGAACCAACCTTGTTGCCATTCCTAATTTTGAGTTTTGAAATGCAAAAACTAAAAATGGGCCAAAAAGTGTTTCGAGCATTTGATAAGAATTACTTACAAAAACAATAATATCATTGATCTTGCTAGCAGCAGATCGGACTCTAATTTAAAACCAAAGTGCTTTTGAAAAACACTAATCCTGAAACCATCCAAACTCGACATTAATTAATCATTTGCAAAAGCTTTAAGCATCAAAGGAGCTTCATTGAAGTTTCATTTAAAGTAAAAGCATTTTGAAGCTGCTTCCACCCAAAGCTCAAATTGGAACCTAGACGGCTAGACCGAGGTGCAACTTTTCTTTCTCTGTTTTTTAGACAGAGGTGCAACTTGGGCGGGCTCGAGTTGAGGAATTGTTAAAATTTCAATGGGCCTAGTTTAAAAGCCCAAAAATGCAAACTCTTCTAGTCGTAGTGGAGACGAGAGATAGAATTTGGGGAATTCACATCTGTACCCCACAAGGCCCCCCCAACATCCCACAGCACATCCCCGCCATGTGTTGGGAATATCTCCTGATGATGTACTAGAAATGATGATGTCATCATCAGGAGATATTCCCAATACACGGCGGGGATGTGCTGTGCGACGTTGTGGGGCGCCCCCTTGTGAGGGTGCAGATCTGAACTCGAATTTGGGGGTCTTGGTGTGGTTTGAAGGAGGCTATGGTAGCCCATTTACCTAAAAAAACCATAGAAAGAACGGAGGATTTTCTTGTAATTCTTTGAGATCCAGCAAATGCCAAATTGCCCATCCACTTTTTCCCTTGTAATAATAGTTCTCATTTTGTCAAATCTCTAAAAAACTTATGCTCGTTTGTGGAAGGAGGGAGAGGTTCCCTCAAGTGAAAGATATAGCCCTTGAGAGAATCTTAAGCCTTCGTTTGGTGGTGCTTATTTTTAAGCATTTAACGGAAAAGCACTTATTTTAGGTTGGAACCACACCAATAAGCACATATTGGTGTGCAATGATAATTTTAATATCCTTTTTAGAATCCATTAAAAAAGATAAGTAATTAAAGCATGGTGTGTTAGTGAAATTAAACTTTGTAATTTATTTGCTTTGTTAATAAAAGTATTACTTATTTTTCATATTTATTTTTGTTTAATATGATAAACATATAATATTAGAGATGTATACAATTTTTCTGACAAATTTCTGTGTTTTGTATAATTTTTCTATTTCTATTTTAATAATTACTTTTAAAAACAATTCTTGTTGTTTGTCAGACTTATCTTTGTTTAATATGACAAATTTATAGTATTTGAGATAGCCAAAATTTTCTACATTTCTGTTTTTGTAATTCTATCTATTATTTAATTTTATTCTTTAACTTTATAACATTATTGGTTGATCCATTTTACCCAAATGATTGGACTGTTAGGCTGCAAGTTGTGCAGGTTGGCCTGAGTTTATGTTCAACATAGGCTCAACCCTATGCATTGGGCCTAAGGCTCAAGCCGAAGGCTTAAGCCCATTTTTAATAACCTCAAAATTTTAGCTTTTTTTTTTTTGAGAACTTTTTGAAAAAGCGCTTATTGTATTCCTGACCCATCTTGGCCCACCATGTAATTTTCAAAATACCTATACTACCTCTATTTGAAAAAAGGCACTTTTTCATCAAACACTCATAAGCATTAATCATGATAAGCACTTATCCAATAAGTACTCCCAAACAAGGTGACCTTATACAATTAGGGCCAAGCTAGGATTCTAGAATTCGGTGAGGATATGTCCAAATCCAATTCATCGAGAATCTAATATATAATTTGATTTGATCAACCCAAATGCAATGTCACTATACCAAAGACCCCATGGACACTCCAAGAGTAAGACTTCCCATACTTTGCCTCCTGTGCAGTTATCATTTTTGCCATATGGTTGCTGCCTATTATTACTCATTTCCATTTCTCTTATTATCCATTTTTCATTTTACTCCTCTTCCTCCTTCAATCAACACTATCTAATGGCCTAATCATCAAAGATTAAATGTATGTTCAAATATCCAATTCAAATTGGGAGATCTTGGAATGGTGGTCACTAGAGGATAATGCCCGCTTTTGTGGAACCTAAGTGATGAAGGGTGATTTGGCCCGACCTAGCGAAAAGGGGACACGTGGATACGATTTGATCAAGAGATGTCAGTTCAGCCTGGCAAGATTAATTCATAATAATTGAGCTCGAGTACTCAGTCACCTCGGCACAAGGGCCACCTCGGCGTATAGTAACCTCGGCAGTCAATCCAGTTCGGAACTAAAAGACTGAAGTATCAGCTCGGGGCTACCGATCTGGACCGTCACGTAACGATCCCGGAAGTCTCTCCAACAAACTCCGAACCTCATGGGATCACGCCGCGTAACGGTAGGCCTTATCTTCTCCCCGCCCGGTTTGGGCGGAATTGATAATCTTTATTAATTGATAACGTTAATCCCCAATTTAAGCATAAACGGATCCCATCAGGACGAAGATCTCGGAACCGATCCACAAAACCTGTGAGGGCTCAACTATATAAAGGCACCAACCCCAATGACACAAGGTACGCGTGATTTTTCTACTCTCTAGCTCTCTAGCTCTCCAAGCTCTCAAAGCTTTTCAGCTCGCATCAGTTTACTGACTTAAGCATCGGAGCAACCTCGACGAGTTAAACACCCCGGGTTCTCTAATCATTTCTTGCAGATTCATCTATCTCGCTGCCCAACTAGAAGCCAAATCATCCTCCAACAGGGAGTAGTCAAATCGTGCTACATCAATTGGCGTCGTCTGTGGGAACTCGATCAAAAAGTCATCCCTCTTACAAGCTATCAACCTTCTAAATCAATGGCATCTTCCAGTCACGCCGGACAAAGCAACGGGATGAACGTCTCTGGGGGGCAACCTCAACTTCCTTCAGTGTGCATTGGCCAATTCACCATCCCGCTTACTGTGGCTGGGGTTCCAACACAGACCATGCCACCAAACACCACACAGGTGAACGCCCCACTTCCCCCAGTGGTAGGCGCAACCTTTTCTAAGCCATCTGTGGTTCCCCCCGGAGTTGGACAGTCATAGTTTGACGACCAACAGCAGTTCCCCCCATTGCCACAAAGCCAGCAGTCTGTTCCACCTCGGCACCCAGGGGCCCAGCAAAATCAAAACAGACCTCGCGTGAACCAAGACATCATTCGATCTCCCCAGCGAGGCAAAGAGACTTCGTAATTCCTAGTTCCTCCCAAGAGTCAGGTCTCACCCCGCGGGAGGAGAGATGGTCAGATCACCCCACCTACTTCGCAAGGGAACCTCGAAAACAGATCCAGGGATGCTCACTCGCAGGTAACTGGTTCGGAGTTCTGGGTGCGGACTCAAGGCAAATCCTCTCCGTCCATGATAGCCAACCCAGGATCCCATGAGGAACTAGGAGCTACCCCTACATTCCAGGTCGTCTCCTCTGTCTCCCGAGCTCTTGGCGACCCCGATGCCCAAAGATTTCAAAATGCCTCCCCTGGACAAATATGACGGGTCTTTTGATCCTAATGGTCATGTGAACTCCTTCCAGTATCAGATGCACCTAGTTGGGGCTGATTCTAACAGATTATAGGAATAGACCATTCTGATTCTGATTCTAAGGAATTTCCATTCCGATTCTGAATTAAACTGTGAACCA